TTAACAATCACAAGGTCCCCTTGGCATAGGAGCCGTAGACTACTTTCATGGTCGCGAATAAATTCTCGTCTTATCTCTGGGTCTCCTCATCTTTGCAAGTCAGTCAGACCTCCCGCATTCTCCTCAACCTCCGTCGTAGTAGACGTCGGCATTCGAAACCTGCGTCTTCACTAGCTTTGCTGCTGTTGATGGCGTAGGACATGCGTGGTCCGTGATTCTCAGACAGTAGTCTGAAGACTTCTTCATCGTCATTTATCCAATCCTGATACCCACGAAATGTGCGGTCAAAGGCTTCTATCGCAATCGTCTGTATCATGACTCCAACAGATCTCTCCACTAGGTCCCAGTATCCTCTACCCTTCCGGAGTTTTGCACGAGAACGACAAAGTAATGATCCATTCAGTAGTAAAAACCAGATGTTACAGAAACAACACCACATAGATCCCGCCTCCAGACTAGGATGTGATCCGGCACATGTCAGCGACACGAGCGAAGGCGCGCCCCGTCGCCTTCTTGCACATTTGAAAGATGGAAGAAGGTGCTGGTTAAAAGGCGACTGTGTCTCGCGCATGCCTGCATGAGGTAAGGCCATTATAAACGATACTAATAATAATAAATAAATAATTTTATTTAAAACCGTTCGGGGCAGACAAAATCTGCACAGTATGCAAAACATTGTTGTTGAGACAAGTAGCCCGTAAAAAAATGATGAATGAGCAGTGAAAAAAACTCCATTATAGAATAAACAAAATGATCTGATTAACTTTGAAGGAGAAAAAACTGTCGTTTATGAAAGGATTAAACTCGGGCAGGACCGGCCTGCATGTGGCAGTGTATAAGGGATTCTAAACGGACGTCGTCAGGGCAGAAAAAATTCCATTCATGAAGGGGTAATATGCGGGTCAGACGGGACTGGCCTGTATACGGTATTGTATAAGGGATTCAAAACGGACATCGTCTGGACAGAATTCATACACCGGATGAGGCTATTCGCGTCAAAGTGGCGAGATGAAAGGAACCCAGACGCGACCGGTCACAGTCCGCTTCGAGCTCAGCCGAGGAGAGAGCAAGAGAGATACAACCAAACTACTAGAAGATGGCGAATACAGAGGATACCGCCATGACCGTCGACAGACCGCTTGAGGTTGGAAGGATGAGAAGACATCATGAAGTGCAAAAATCGTCGCTATTGCTGTTACAGCTGCCGAGTCGCTGGTGACCGAGCTTTCTCCGCATGCAGCATAATCTTTGCTGACGCGAGAATTGAAGGTCCAAAAAACAACTACTCTGGCCGCCTATGACACAGTTACTATGAGGGCATGCCAGTCTTCATAAACCTTGTTCCGCACGTCATCGGACTTCGTCACCGAGAGGACAGGCACTGACGATGGTTAAGAATTTGTTCTCCAAAGTGGTGGCCTCATGACCACGAGACGGCCCCCGACGTCCCGAATTAAGTTAAACATGTGTCTCACGTCGTTTCTGGCGACAAAATGCACTCTAGCATCTTGTTATTTTGCCTTTGGGTGACCACACTAGAAAGTGTATTTGGGCCCACCCCCTCCAGTTGACCTTCCTGAGTTTGCTAAGCCAACTCGTGGGCGGCCAGAGCTATCCTTCCAACCTACCTGTTTGCCAGCTGACTGTCTCAAAATGAAGAAACGTTCGAGGCTGCCAGAAGGGCACTGCACAGTCGAATGACCGTTAGGAGAGGACTGGAGCAGTAACAGGTTTTTGTTCGTTGTAGTTCTGTGACCACATTTTTGCCCCCAGAAATCACCTTTTTATAGCAAAGAAGACGTTCAAGGCATCTACCTCACTTCCGCCTTTCCCATCCTCCATATTTAGATAGCAGTACAAAGTCTAAACAACCAGAGGTGAGCGTTGGCGCAGTGGTTAACAGAAATAAAAGGTCCGTTACGCGTGCCACACGACCTAATCCACCCCCTCTTTATGTACCGGGTCGCAATAAGGTGGTCTCAGAGATCACATAGGTGAAAAAACGATATAAAGGCCTCATTAAGAAAAATTTATTTCAGCCTGGTCATAAGTACTCGGAATGACCGAATATCTTGTTAATTGGAAAATTTCTAAAGCATGACTGACAATATATTTAAAGACATCGGGTTTATAAAAGCGATCAATGTGTTGATCTGCCGTGCAATGGGTCCCCCAATATTGAACTCACCCTCTCTTTCCTCTTCCACGCATCCGTAGTCCTTCCAAGCCAGGCGGACTAGGATAGAGATGAGGCACAGCGTCTGACAAAGAAATGTGGTCGTACACGCGTGCGTCACACTGCTTGGTCTACAATTCACCTACCAGGCTGAACCAAGGGATGTGCTTTCTATTTAGGCGAGATGTGCATCATCTTTCATGCGACGTTTTACCTACCATACTGGCTCCAGTAATGTGAATCGTATGCTTGCCGCAGGATAGAGGGGTGAAGTACTACGGAAAGGTGTTGTTTATGCGCGTGTCATGAGATATGTATGTAGGTGAATAAACGACGTGCCCATGTGTAGGCAGTACAAAATATGATGATGGGGTCCGGAGTGTGTCTTTTTAATGGAGATTTTCGTGGATGCGTATCTGACGGAATAGGCTCGTGCAAGGATCGAATGTTCTGGAATAGTGTAGGCAAGCAAGAAAAGAATGCCGGGTGTCCTGGACGATCCTGACACTTGTTGTTTAGTCTCAGCGCGATGAACTCGCAAGCGACCAACCAGGCCGATGTGTGTTTCCGATAAATGATGACCGTAGAGTGCCTTTCATCATAAACTGCGTGACAGATGCGTTGTACCGAAACAAGTGACAGACTGACTCACGGCACGCGTTTACGGGTGTTTGCAAATTCCGCGCGAGCCTTTGACCGCTAAAATACATGGATGTGTAGTGGCACGCTTTGACGTAGACTTCACGCCGCGCCAAACACTGCGTCCATACTAAATACCAGCAGGTTGACAGACTCGGACATTCGACCTTTGAATGAAAGGGGAAACAGAGCGAGGTTGTAGTGGTCCAGCTCCGGACGCACGTCGTAACTTTAAGCCTCTCGCGACTATTTGCCAATGCCCACTGATTGCCGTCTGGTTCTCCGCCAACGCCGGCTGTCCAAACTGACCAACCACCTTCGAGACTGACTTAGACGTGACCTCGTGGAAGGCGCTTGACGACTGTCCCACTGTTTCACACCGGCTAACGCCGCTCTTGCGGCTTCGGACGTGCCGTCGTCCGACTGCTAACTCCTAACAACCTCTTCCCCAGTAGTTCTGTACAGAATACGACATGCTCCCAACCGGCGTTTCACATCTTTTCTGCCTGTTCGGAAATGGATCTGATGGTAGTAGTGTCTAGGGTCTCCCTACGACTCAGGCTGCCGCAATAAGGTGGGCACCGGGGGATTCCATCCTCAAGACACCTAATCACTGACTTCATCATAAAATATCTGACGCGCATGAATCTATCCCGACGCACTATAGTCGTGACTTAGAAGGCTCTCAACTGACGGGGTAATGTGGTCTTCCTTTCAGGACGCATAATCCGACTCAGCCGATTCTTCTTATAATAGCCGCTTATTTCGCTCCCACTCAGAGGGAATCCGAGCCGACTACTTTTTTATTTCAGTGAAAACCTTGTCTATCATGCGCGGATCAGGTCCTGTGTGACGCGCGTGAACGGGCTGTGTGGTTTTGTCAGCCACTGCGCCAGAGCGCCCCTCCGGTCCTTCAGACTCTATCTTGCCACCGAGCCCAGAGGTTGAAGGGGGCGAGAGTGCGGCTGATTTCAGCGCAGGTCTGTTAGCATCAACTATGCTATATCTTCGTACACGGTGATTGTCAGGATTTTTTTGTGGTAGGACGGGCTCTTCAACGTGAAATCGTCCAACATTCTCCCGCCCGTATCGACGAGCCTGGAGAAAACGTACCGCTGCAACTTGAGCCCCCACTGACGACCACCGACGCCCGCCCAGTGGGAATGGGACGTGTTAAATGTCTGACAGTTCTTTACAAATTTTTATCGGGTATCTAGTAGACTGAAACGACCCATATATGCAAGCAGATCGATCCTTCTGCAGTGACAGAAAGCCTGACTGGAGCAAACTCAGATACAGCTTTTCTTGTGAGGCGTTGGGCAGTTGCTTCCATAATTTAGACTGGTCTTTGCATTAAATCCTTTTCTATAAACGCCAATTTAATGAATATCTTCCACCTTTTGATGCAGTTACCTTGTTTTTTGATTCTCACATGACTTGACAGTTGGAAGTATAACTCAGCACTTGCGGGGCAGTCCGCTGACATCCCAATGCAGCATATCTGATATTTTTAAGATTTTGGACTGCATAATTTTCGAAGCTTACTGATCTTTTTGGAAGACTTTCAGACCCTCTGAGTTAAGTACCCGATAAATTGTTTGATAACATCCGCTTCGGAGGTGTCTGTGAGTACCAGCGCTTCACCTTAAATCCAGCTCAAATATCCTCAACTACCCCTTTTCGAGTGTTTAGTCCGAGGGATTTATGTATGACTCGTGGACTAAACACCCATAGAGTTTTTTTCATACATTTCCGAAAGTCTTTCCTGATAAACAATTTGTAATTGCTTGAAATTATGATTTTCTCTGACCGTATATTAATTATTGCATGTCATTTATCACTTAAAGGCCGATCAGATTGTTTTCGTCATAATGATTTATAACCTTTATTTTGTTTTAAAAAAAGTGCGATTTTAAAGCCCTCTGTTATCTTGAGCAAAACAAATCTTGGAATAAGCACTAAAAATATGATCTGAAGCACCAACATGGATGTTGGGGAAGTTGTACGCACTGTCGTAGTGTTTGTTTCATATATGCCCCTTTCATACTTGAGATGGTTATCCTTCCGGAAAGAGCACTTAGTGTTCGTAAAGTATTGTAACGGACGACCCAACCGTTTTTCCTTAAAGTTTAATTGCTCTAGTCTGAAAACCACTTGTGTTCCAACGGCCCTTGGATTCACACACATGGTGTGTCAGCTCCACGAGGTGATGATGGCGCGTGTCACGGACAGCGGGACCGTCTCCGAAGCACTTGCAGTAACCAATGTAGTGAGGCGGGGCTACATACTCACCCCAACCCTCCTCAGTTTCATGTTTTCTGTCATGCTGGCGGACGCCTATCATGATGAACCTGGGATCCGCATCGCCTACAGGACTGGCGGCCATATTCTCAACAGCCCGCGCATGCGGGCCCCAACGTCCCCTAGTCACAGCCTACTCTTCGCTAACAACTGCACAATCCACACCAAGACAGAAGCTAACATGCAGCAGAGCATAGGACTCTTCGCCTACGGTTGCGCCAACTTCGGGCTGACCATCAACATGGACAAAACGCCGGTCATGCATCAATCGTCACTCAACGCTGCATGCAGTGTTCTTCACATCCACGTCAACGGCACCCAACTGAAGACCGTGGACAAATTCGCCTACCTAAGCCGCACACTATCAAGCTGTTTCAAAATGTACGGCGAAGTGGCTGACCGGATTTCCTAAGCCGGCCATGTCTTTCGCCGGCAGCTGAACTCCGTATGGACTCGCCACCTCAACATCAAACTGAAGATGCACTAAGCGGTCATCTTGACGGCCCTGTTATATGGGGTGGAGACCTGGGCAGTCTACGATAAACGAGCGCGGAAACTCAGTCATTTACATCTCCGTTGTCTGTCGGATACTAAAGCTGAGGTGGCAGAACAAGATCTCCGACACAGAAGTTCTGAAAGAAACTGGAATCCTCCGCATCTACACCATGCTGAGGCAAATGAAAATACGATGGAGCGGCTACCTCGTGAGGATGGATGACGTCCACCTACAAAAACAACTCCTCTACGGAGATGTCACTACGGGTGCTCGTCGACAAGGTCAAGCCAATTACTACAAAGATACCTTTAAAAATACGCTGAATCGGTTACGGACCAACCATAAGACTTGGGAAGACCTTGAAGTGGACCGGCCAGCCTGGAGAAGAGCATTTAAGACTGCAGAAGCCATCTGTGAAGTCGATCGAATCAGCTCTGTCAAGGCCAAAAGGGAGGCTTGCAAGGCTCAGGTGCCTCTGCCACAACGCCAATACCCAACCGTTTCCAACATGCCCGCCCCCTCAACGAATATTCCGAGCGTGGATTGACCTCGTCAGATATCTCCGGACTCGGCGCACCAGCCCGACAACCCCAGTCGCTCTCTCCTACAGCTCCTTCTCCAACCCTCACCTTGGCCATCACCATGACCGCCCTCAGCACCGATGCTCAACACCTCCATGCCCCGCCGCCGTTAGTAACCGCCATTTCCATCATCCCTGCCACAACCTCCGCGGCGACGACAGTGAGTATTACAGCTCCCATTCCTACACCGAGCAAGAGTCTCTCGACGGCTCGCCAACAACCACTCCCACCAGTATCACCCCCACTCGTCCCCACTGCAATCGCACATTCACCTTACGCATCGGCCTGATTGGTCACTTGCGAACCCATCGCACTGCGACCGGCGCATCAGTGCCAGGAGTCTCTGCATATACTCGTCGCATCCGCCTTCACTGTCCACACTGTTCACACACGTTCATACACTGCATGGGCCTATTCGGTCGCATGCGTATCCACAACAGCAGAATCCATCGCAATATCGACACACCTTGCACATCTACCATTCCTCCCATCCCCAGCTCAGCGACCTTCCCATCGACCAGCGTGTCCACCATTGGTACCATCACGACTACAATCGATCTAACTTCCCCCAAATAATCCTGTCCACTCTGTCACGCAAGTTCACCTCACGAATCTACCTGGTCAGTCACTTACAAATTCATCTCATAGAGACTGGTGAACCGGTGCCTGGAGCACCGAAATACACCAGTCGCCACCGTCTCAATTGCCTGCACTGCCCTCACCCACCATATTCAGCCATCACCTGGGTTTTTTTGGTCAAATGCACATTTATAAAAGCTTGAGTAAATCCCCACGGACATGACCACATCACCAAGCACTTCCTTATCAACACATGCAGCCCGCATAAACACCTCCAACACCCCACATCACCGACACCTCATGCGTAAGTGGCAAGTATGTTTGTTGGCTCCTTTCTCCATGTGACTTCTCTGCTGCATGCGAGATCCGAACGGTCTACCCCTTAAACGTGAAATCCCGGTGTGCGCGTATGGGGGGCCAGGTTTTGTGTGGGGCACGCGCAGATAAGCTCTCTAGCTCTATCAGCCACTGCATCCACTTCCGGTATCAGACATCTGACCAGCTCTGACAATGGGCTGGTGTTTGGGAGTGGGAAGAGGGAATGAGGTCAACGTCTCAGCCCATATTTCCCGTTGCAAACAGTCTGATACGCTTGAATCTACCAAGATGCGTTAAAGTCGTGGCCTGGAAGATCGCCAACTGACGGAATAACTCAGACCCTGCAGTCACCCCAGTGTGTGTTTGTGGGGAGCAACCGACTAATGAACTAAAAGTCAAGCTGCAATGGCTCCTCCTTAATGTAGCCTCTATGGCAGTCCCACCCAGTGGGACGTCAGACGCTTCCCTCTTTTCTTGTAGTGTGTAAAGTCCTGGTCACTGTGTATTGTGGACCAGGGGTGTGGTAGTTCTCCTAGTTGAGGGTTTATGCCATGCCAGTCGCCTGCGCTCTCTTCTGCCTACGGTCTCCTTGACTCTGTCTTGACACCAGATCCAGGCGAGAGAGGAGAAGATTGTGCAGCAGATGAGTCGCAAGTCTGCCATCACTTTGAAATAATTCACGTGCAACTTACCGTCCGTACTCCCACCCTGCGGGGGAGCACGCGGAGGACATTGTCAGTAACGACAGTCGAACCCTCAGATAGTTCTCCAAGTGGACGTTTACTCTGAAGCTGCCCCATGTCGCAGTTCTATGGCTGACTTCTTGTCAGTCTGGAAAACTGCAAAATGTGTTGTAAAATATCTAGCGCAATTTGCGAAAATCATCGGTAACTACATTGTCGCATAGGATGACTGGTAAAGTACACTAATACAATGCCCATGTTAGACGAAAGTCAGTCTAAGCTTAGTCGTTAGTACATCAGATTAGAAAGGATCATTTACCAGACGTAGAACGTGAGAATACGTCTCCAGACTAGCCCGAGCTTCGGGCTGTACATTACAAATACGTAGTGTGAAATACCAACCGCTCTTTTTAAATCGCGCGGTATCCTTCCTCTCCCCGTTTTTTTCGGCTGTTTTCGCCAAAATTTTCGTGCTTCAATAATTTACACCAAATTTCCACGGTTTGTCTGCTCTCATGACAGTAATACTACGTTTTGTTAGCCTGACCTAACAACCTAAGCGCTACTGACAGTAAATACATGGAGAACATAATCAGGGCCTAACAATGGTAAGTGCAAATGAAGAAAGCGGAGTGATTAACAAGGAGCCTCAGGTATCCCCATGAGCCTACCAGAACCGAGAATGAACCGCTTACTCACAGAAACAGCCTTTACGCCACTGATCACCTGGTAATCCACTGCTGTCTATCAATTCCCTCTTTTGAAAAACCGGCATCAAGTTATATTTACCCCAATTTTCACATAAATGTC